GAAGAAGACAGGAAAACACAATCAGCAGCAGCAGCAGCAGCAGCAGCAGCAGCAGCAGCAGCAGCAGGAAGAGGAGGAATGGCGGCAACGACAGGAGCAGCAGGAGTTTTCAAGGGTGGCGAGTGATTCGGCCTACTCCACCCCTCTCAGCCCCTCACTCTCCACCCTCCGCCCGAACTTCTCCCGCAAGAGTTTCTCTGATGCCGTCGAGGACTCCCACCACTACCTCGAGCAAGGAAGGAGCACTTGTGCGCTCTCCTGCCTCTGACGCTCGTGCGAGCAGGGAAGTACGAGTTCATCCAGCAGTGGAGCAGGAGCAGCGAGGAAATGAGCGCGCTGGACCTGATGGAGAGGGTACCTTCATTCCCGTCGGAGGCTGGGACGTTGGATGTCATCCAGCAGCAGGAGGAGGAGGAGGAGGAGGTGATGGAGGAGGAGCAGGAGAGGGGGCGGGGAGGGAAAGAGGGAGAGAGAGGAGGTTGAAGTAGAGGGACAGGGGAGGGGAGAGGGAAAAGGAGGGGAGTGGGGGAGGAGAGAGGAGGAGAGGGCTAGCGATGCGCATTTTTCGGTATGCTGAAGATCGCGGCAGAGCGTCAAATCTTCTCCCAGCTGGGCAAGAGCAGAGGAGAGAGCGGAAGAGATCGGCGGGTGGCAAATCTATGGGACTGAGCAGGCAGCAAGGGAGGAGGAGGAGGAGGACGAGAGGGGAGGAAAGCTGCAGATTGATCGACCAGGACTTGAAGGAGGAGGACGAGGAACCCCGAGGAGGAGGAGAAGTTCAGTGAGAAGTTCAGCTGTTGAGCTCGGGGATGCAGAAATTGTCAAGGTTGCCGTTGATTTGGTATCCTCCTCCTCCTCCTCCTCCTCCTCCTCCTTGTGCTCGTACTCTTTGTCTTTCTCCTCCTCCACCACCTCCTTCTCGTCCTCCTCGTTGTCGTCTTTCTCCTCCTCCTCCTCCTCTACCGCCACCACTTCCATCAACATCCTCTTCCTCCCTCCCATCCCCCTCCCACTCTCCCTCTTCCTTACCCTCGCTCCTCTCCCTCACTCGCTTCTTCAGGCTCGCGAGCAGGCACTCCAACATGCCTCCACCATCATCGAGGAAGCGCAAACATGGTCTCCTTCCTTGTCCTCTTCTTCCTCCTCTCCTCCCTCCTCTCTCCTGCCTGCTCTCCTCCTCTCCCTCCTCCCTTTCTCCTCTCCTTGCTCCCCTCTCCTTGCTCCCTCCTCCTCTCTCCCCTGATCCCGATCAGACCATCGTCGCCTCTTTCTTCTCTTTTCCCTCCTCTTCTATCGCCCTCGTTCTTCACCTCGTTGCTCTCCTCCCTCTCCTCTCTCTTATACCTTCCCTTTTCCCCTTCCTCCATGCATCTCTCCCTCCCTTCCTCCTCCTCCTTCTCCTCTCCTCACCTCTGCTCTGACTCTGCTGGAGTTCAGGCCGAGCTCTCCTCCAAGGGACTTCAACCCGGACGGTCGCAGGCGCCGAGGACGATTTTGCATGCCTCGTTTCCTTCCTCCAATCTTATCGTGGACGAGGCTCGACGGCGATCGGAGAGCATGGTCCTGCCAAGACAGGAACGGGAGGAAGAGAGTGGAGAGGAGCTGCTGGAGAGAGAGCGGAGGAGGGAGGAGGAGGAGGAGGTGTTGAAGAAAGATCTCAGAGAGGTGGTTGAGGATGCGAAGGGGTATGGGCTTGATGACGGCGACTTCGTTCAAGCTGCCGTCGACATGGTGATACTCATCATCTCGCCTCCTTCATCTTCCTCCTCTTCCTCCTACTCCTCCTACTCCTCCTCCTCCTCCTCCTCCTCTCCCTCTTCTCTTCCTCCTCCTCCTCCTCTCCCTCTTCCTCTTCTCCTCCTACTCCTCCTCTTCTCCACCTTTCGTCATCCTCTTCTTCTGCTCTCCTCCTCCTCCTCTTCTCCACAACCTATTCCTCCCTTGTCCCCATCCTTGTTCCCTCACTCCTTCCTCTCCCTCACTGTCTCCTACAGGCTCGCGAGCAGGCACTCCAACATGCCTCCACCATCATCGAGGAAGCGCAAAACATGGTCTCCTTCCTCCCTTGTCCCCTCCTCCCTCCTCGCTCCTCTCTCCTCCCTGCTCTCCTCCTCTCCCTCCTCCCTTTCTCCTCTCCTTGCTCTCCGCTCCCTCCTCCCTTCCTCCTCTTTCCCTTCCCGCGCTCTCTGTCTCCCTCCTACCTCTCTTCCTCCTCTTCTCTCCACTGTGACTCTGCTGGAGTTCAGGCCGAGCTCTCCTCCAAAGGCCTGCAGCACCGGCGGTCGGAGACGCCAAGGACGATCCTACAAGCATCGTTTCCTTCCCCCAACCACATCGTGAACGAGGCTCGACGGCGGTCGGAAGGAGGAGGAGCAGCAGCAGCAGGGGAGCAGCAGCAGATTCCCTTGCCGTCAGCAAGGTCAAGAAGACGGAGCTCGATCCTTATGCAGATGGAGAAACAATACACCTACCTTGTGGTGCGTTGACCATCCTCCCCTCTCTTCTACTCCCATCGCCTCTCCTCCCTCATCCTCTGTTTCCCTCCTTCCCTGCGATCCCCTTCCTAGCGATTTCTCACATTTTCTCCAGGATGATCCCTGACAAGAAATCCTCTTATGCTCCCTCGGACTGCCTGCACCCCCCGCTCGCTTCTTCCACCGGCAACTTTGACCTCTTTTTTCTTCCTCGTCTCCCTCCCTCCTCATATTCTCGTTAGCCCCATGTCTTATGAATTCTGCTTTAATGTTCATAGCTTACAGCTCATCATTCCTCCTCGCTCTCCTTCTCCTCCTCCCTCTCTCCCTCTCTCCCTGGCTACTTGACGTGACTTGGGATCAGTCACTCCCCGAGCACGAGGCCAACGACAATCACTGAAAACAGCGTAAGAACACAAGCGAGGATGACAAGAAAAGCAGGAGAACAAGAACGAGTAGGAGCGGCAAGATACAAGTGAAAGAGCAGTGGAGGTTTTATGGAGGGCACACAAATGCTTTCTTACCGAAGTTGTCTGACATGTTGCTGGGATCTGCTGAGACGATCAGCAGGGAGAAGATGAGGGAGAAGAAAGAGAGAGAGAGGATGAGAACTTGGTGAGCAGGGAGAGGAGGGGGCAGCAGAAGGACAAGGGAAGGAGAGGGAGACGAAGGAGGGAGGGAGGCAGGGAGGAAGGGATGGAGGAAGGGAGTGGAGGGAAGGAGGGAGTGGAGAGGCAAAGAAGGGAGAGGAGAGGAGAGGATAGGAGAGGAGAGGAGCAGGGGTTCAATTTCTCACCATCAGCGTTGGGGATATACAACCCGCCGACATCAAACTGAGAGCAGAGCGAGTCAGTTCGGAAGAAGGAGGGGGAGGAGAGTTGGTTGGAGTCCTAGAGCGAGGAAGGAGGAACAGAAGAGAAGGGCAGACAGGAAGGAAGGAGGGAGGAGGGAGGAGGGAGGAGGGAGGAGGGAGGGGGAGGAAGGAGAAAGGAGGGGGGGGGGGAAAGGGAGGGAGGGACGAGGGGGAGAGGAGGGAGGAGGGAGAGGACAGGGAGGGAGGAGGGGGCTGATACCTGCACAGGGAGCAAAACGCCGTGTGGGAAGAGATCCAGTAGGTTGCCAAGGTCAGGAAGGGGGTGAAGCATGATCTGACATGATACTCAGTGGCTGCTCCTCCCCTTCTCCTCCCTTTCTCCTCCTCTTCTTGTTCTTTCTCAGCTCCTACTCCCACTCCTTCCATTTCTCCCTCCATTGCTGGTTCTCCATCCGAGCTCGAATCCTCCACTTCCATCTTCAAACTTTCCGTCCTCCTCCTCCCCTTCTCCTCCCCTCCTCCCCGTTCCTCTCTCCTCGTCTCTTCTCTTCTCGTTTCTCTCCTCCCTCCTCTCTCGTCTCTCCTCTCCCTCTTCATCAGCATGAGGACCTCAGGAACGCCGACATGCAGCTTGATCAGGAGGTCTGGCCTCCCCTCCCCGCCCTCGAACGCCTCGCGGCATGCAGCCACTGCATCCATGATGGCGATACGGATGGCCTGGGAGGGGAAGGGGGAGACAAGTCAGATCCCTGTGCGTGCTCGGGGAAAGGAGAGGAGGAAGAGGTGGAAGAAGAATTCAAGAGTGTTGGAGGACGTGGGGAAGGATGGAGGTAAGGGGAGAGAAAAGAGGGTAGAAGGGAGGGAGTATAGAGGAGGGAGGAGGGAGTATAGAGGAGGGAGTATAGAGGAGGGAGGAGGGAGGAGGGAGGAGGGAGGAGGGAGGAGGGAGGAGGGAGGGAGGTAGTAGGAGGAGGGAGGAAGGAGGGAGGAGAGAGGAGGGAGAAGGGAGGAGGGAGGAGGGAGGAGGGGGGGAGAGTGGGCAGAAGCAACCTCAGAAGCGTGTTGCATTCCTTGGATTTGGGCGAACGATGCATGCATGACCTAAAGACCGTCAAACAAATTTCCTTCCACCCTCTTCTCCATCCATCCTTCTTCATCCTCATCCTGCTAATCGTTCCCTCCTCCTCCTCCTCCTCCTTATCTAACTCTTCCTCACCTTGGAGTGCTGAATATCATGAGGGTCCATGCTAGTCGCATGTCGAGCCCGCGGCATCATGCTCTGTCCTGTCGCTTTACTCGGTGAGCGGACGAAAGTCTCCTGCTGCTGCCCCGGCTGCTCTCGCTCTCCTCCTTTCTGCTCCTGCTCCTCCCAGTGATGGGTCCTGTGCTTGACAGGCTCGGCCTGGGAAACGTAGGAAGTGTCGCACTGTAAGCTGAAGGACTCGGGGATGTGCGAGTCGTTGAGAGGGCCGAACTGAGGAGTAGAGTGGGAGGGATACGAACTGAGAAGAGAGTAAGAGGAGAAAGCGACACGATCACGAGGACGAGGACGAGGACGAGGACGAGGACGAGGACAAGGACGAGGACAAGGACGAGGACGCAGACGAGGACAAGGACGAGGAAGAGGAAGCGATAGGGATGCTGGCAAGGAGAGCTTTGCAGGAGGAATAAGAACCTTCGGGGCTGATTCGGATGATTTGCCGCCTGCTCTGGATTGGCCTGACACAAGGTCAAGCGGCCAAGAGGCTTCTGAGGCGACTGAAGAAGAGGACAGAGGAGGTCGAGGAGACAATGAGGAGAGAGAGACGAGAAGATCGAATGAAGAAATAAGGTTGAAGTGAAGAGGAGGAGGAGGAGGAAAATAAGAGCGAATGTCAGTCATCCTGCATTTCCTGTTCTTCATGACTCTCACCAGCTCTCTTTGATTGAGGGATTTCTTTGGCTCCTCGTTCTCTTCCCTCCTCTTGTTCTGCTGTCAAGTCACAGGAGGAATCGCATGCAAGAAAGCTCGCTCACATCGCTTGCAGCATGAGCTCCGACTTGCCTCCCGTGCGAGCGGATCTGAATGAGAAAGTTTTCAGGCTAGCCATAGCAAACAAGGAGAGAGGAAGGGCAAAGGGCATAAGAGGGAGAGGGGCAGGGAGGGAGATGGGAAGAGGGAGGGGGAGCGAGAGTTGAAGGGGAAGAGAGGGAGGGCAGGAGAGAAGGGGGGAGGAGGGGAGAGGGAGGGAGGGAAGTAGGGCGGGAGCAGAGTGAGTGAACGAGGTGGAGGGGAAGGGGGAAAGAGAAAGCTGATTGGTCGGGGGTAGAAGGGGGAAGGGAAGCGACAGCCTCTGTGGCACCTTGACGATCTCCAGGAGCTCAACGTCTGTCAGTGCTGGCATCTGCATCATCGGCAACCCAAACGATGTCTGTGCATGCTGCAGTCAAAACTCTTTCCACCCTCCTGACTCGCTGCACCCCCTTCACTCAATCCACTTCTGTGCGTCTGCTCTGCCCTTCTTCTCCTCTATTACTCCCTCCCCTCTTCCTCCCTGAACCCTTGGTCCATCCCTCTCCCTTTCCTCTCCTCCTCGTCCTTCTCCTACTCCTCCTCCTACAACTGCTGCTGCTGCTGCTGCTGCTGCTGCTGCTGCTGCTGCTGCTGCTACTACTACTCCTACTCCTACTCCCACTCCTCTTCTTACTCCTACTCCTCTCTAACGACAGAACTTACCAGATGCTGGTGCTGGACGAAGAAACCTCCAGGTCGATGGCTGGCAAGGAGGAGGCGAGGGATGTGTATGATAACTTCCACTCCAGGCCT